CCTGGTGCCATGTAGGCCGCCCCATTGTCAATCTCACTTGAGAGCAGTTATGTTACTATTCTCCCCAAAATATTACAAAACCCATATTGTAACAATTTAATATTTGGCTCTCCTTACTTAATATGCATTTCAATATTCATTTGCTTCGAGCTTGGGAGGAAAAAGACCCCAACTTTTAGAATCGAAGTGTTACACAGTAACAGACATGGAAGAAACCAGTAATATTTATAACAGAGCGGTGAAGTGCAAACCATAACGTTTCAACTTACTCTTAACGGAGGCACCAGATGAGAGAGGCTGTCCCGAAGATAGGCGTAATGTCTGAATGTATGATCAGAGAACAGGGCAGGCATCGTTGGGCAACTTTTAGCAGCGTTAAAAATCAGAACCAGCACAGCAATGTCTATTGAAATGGATTGTTAAAGAAAAATAAACAAGAAGAGCTCATTGGGGATGATAAGTTAAAACAACAACTCAACAACCCTTTCTTTGCTGGAGATTGTTTAGGAAGCTCTTTTCAGTTGGAGAATGTTGAGCAAAACCCAAAGAGGCAGCTGTCTGAGCAGATGAAAACAAACTACGAAGCCCAAACATTACAGGATGCGCCATATTGGAGGAAGGATGTTCCTGCCAACGTGGGACTGCTCAGAGGCGACACAAAGGACAGGAGCCAGGGATTATAAATGCAGAACATGCACATTAGGTGGAGTTTCACTCTTCCTCAAAGCTTACGCTGTGCTTAGCAGTTTGGTACCCAAACACCATCTAAAATTAAACATTTACCTCTAAGTCTTTGAAAATTGCTGATCTCCTATGATGCTAGCCCCTGAAAAACATCCCTCTTACACAGGCTTAAAACAAACCAAAGAATCAAACATGGGCAGATGATTCTGGAATAGAAAAAGCATTTTCAGCCTGAGAGCCCGAGAAATACAGAGGGCAGCCAAAGACTTTAATCAGTTAGCCCAAAGGCTGGGGCACTCACCTGAAAGAGGGTTGACCCCAAGCGTAAGATCTTCAACAGGAGAGCGTGAAAGGATCCCAATGCAAAAACTTAGGACACTTGCCTGCATGGGAAAGAAGTAGGTTTGGCCACAGAAGGGACTGAACCCACGTCTCTCACCTCCTGAAAAATCTTCTACATCCATGGGCTGCCAAGCGTAAAGGCTTCTACTTGACAAACCAATTTCTCCTCTTTGCCTCAAATTTTCAGCTGAAGCTATTCAACTAACCTGACTCGAATTTACTAAGTGCTTTGAATCAGACAAAACCATGTTTTTAGTTAACAGCTTCCACTGTAAACATACCATTCAGGTCTACCCTGTAGCTTTTGGCCCCCAGGTCTGTCTTCACATAATATACCTCAGTAAAATTTGGTGGCAGGTTACCTCCAGAACATTCTCTAAAATAATATTCTTTGGTTCAGAGCAGGAAGGTGCATTGAGCTTTCTCCCCACACAGTGTTCCTTCAATCCTCAACTGAGAGGACAAATTTACTCAAATTTATACTCAGCTATCTGATTAGGGATTAATCTTTCTCTCCACCTGATTCTAGCCTTTTTCAATTCTCACAAGGTATTTTTTTTACTCTGTATAGAAGTTCTAGCTGATGGCCTGGGATTGGTGAGAGAAATAAGGAGTAGCTTCTCAGAGGAAGAGAGTTGTTCCAGTCCAACACCTCTCAGCATGCATCAGAAATAACATTACATTCTGCAAGCGCACAGAAGGAAAGTGAGGAGAATGAACAATGGAAAAATGGTATTTCGCCTTTCCAAGGCATCTCCTATTGTTAAGGATAATGGTATAACACTAACAGTTTGTATTCTAAAGCACTAGTAGTGCTAACATTAATTCAAAATCAGAAATCCTTCTATTATTTCAAAAAGACGATAAATTTATAGCATTATGGGGATTCAACCACTGCTGCACTAAGCAACAGTACTGTTCTACACACTGCACAACAGTGAGGGTAGAAGTTTTACCTAAAAAGAAAACCAAGAATGAAAACCACTGTTCTTATTTAAAGGCTAAAGCATCTTCAAAATTAATGCAAACTAGACAAATGTCTTCACATCAAAAGACTCATCTACGAAGCCTAAACCTTGACAAACTGCTTGATAAAACAGATTATTCGTCACAGCATAAAAAAAAGACCAGTTATATCACACTGGTATTTACTAAATGGTTCCAGATAATGGTTATTTCCATCACTTGCTGAGTAATAAAACTAAGTGGCAAAGGGATTCAGAAATAGCTACAGAATTGTCTGCCACAGTTTGAAATGGTTTAACAAATGTGAGCATCAGGAAAATATGAATAAAATCTATTACAGTCGAAATGATTAACTGGCTTCATTAAAAAGATACACGCTGGGTCATCCATGTCTGGTTCTGGAGTGTCAAAGAATGGATGTGTGCTGAGCAGCTCTGGGACTAATGGAAGCACCAAAGTGGGATGCCTGCTTCCCAAGAACTTCAAACATCTGAAAATACACAGATTAGAACATTTCTTAGTAAACATGTAAACTGCAAAATACATTTTAAAGCATTATTACTTTATGGTGCTAGCTGCATTTTGAAGCGCTGGTCAGTATCGAAATCCTACCATCCAAGTCACTGTCTGTTCACAGCGGAGTATTTGCATTAATATTTGATAGGATCCAAGAAAACTGAGAGGACAGCTTGAAAAAACAAGCAGTAATAAAAATCGTTTATTTAAACTGTCCAAGAAATACTTAACACCTGGAGCTATACAACCCCAGAAAAGCTTTCATACTGAACACTAACAAATGAGTGTATTTTTTTCTTCAGAAATAAAAGAGTGAGGAGGTAAAAACCTAACCAAATAACAAAACCTAAAAACCTCAAACCCCAAAACCAATGTGAGAATACACTGGAAGACAAAGCAGACTAAAATAAATGTTTCCAATAATACCCAAGAATTCCATCTCAAACCATGTGTGCTGGAGCATCACTTCCTTTGTTGCTTCCATTAAACAACCAAAAAAAAATTTAAAAAAAAAAAAAAATCAACAAGCAAGAACAACACAGTTTCTACATCAGTCATGAATAACATACAAAGCTTAGTATAGTCACTACTCCAAATACTTACAGAGTAACAGGACTGTATATCTGCAATACCTGTTACCTCCTTAGCTAGCTTAATATTTGCCTAATATCTCTATTACTAAAAAGAATAGGAAGATAAGTAGACACACAAGGACACTGCACACACTCACTTCCATATGGATTCTCTGTCTGTGGGATACTTCGTCAGGTTTTTCAGCAGCTCCACGAGTGCAAGATGGATGCCTTCTTTAGTTGAGACATTGGTGCAACACAGCAGTTCATGAAGCGCTTCCCGAATGTCCCTTGAAGAATCCTAAAACCAAAAAACCCAACCCAGACACCTCTGAGCACCAAGAAAGAAGATGTGCCTGCGTACACTTTTACTTTAAAGGTAGCAGTTCCTGTTCTTTGGCTGAATTAGTACTAGAGGCATCTGAACAACAGTGCACATTTCTAGTTATCATAGCTGAGCACGGATGAAGTGACAGACCAGGCAGCTGCTGCTGCAGGGTCTCCTGCTGGTCTCATTCACCCATGTACTTCATTTAGTAGAATGAATGGCAACTGCTTCGCTGCTGACCTGCTCAAGCAGAATGAGAATCGCCGTTTGGTTTGGGTAATGCTGCACCCTTTGGCACAGGCAGTAGCAGAAAAGGCAAGCACTGGGTAACTCAGCAAAACAATCACCAAAGATTGTTTTACCCTCTTTTGGAGAAGCCTTTTATCATTCAACACCTGAAGCTCAATTCCACAAGTCTTTAACCCAGTCACCAGCCTCCAGAGGGTTTGGGTAAGTGTTGAGGACATGTCAATGGCTGGACAGAAGAGATTAACAGTGATCATCTACAGGATAAAAGAACTTGACCTAACTACGGGTTTATAGACAGACAATTAAAAAAAAACCCAAAACAAAAAACCACCCCACTCTTAAAACTTCAGTTGGGAACTTTGTTAAGACTGTATGGGATCCCCAATGTACCGCTTCTACAGTCACATTGCATGCATTTTATTTTTTAGACCAGGGTGACGTTGTACAGAGGAGCTTATGCAATCTCGGAGCAGTATTTTTAGAAGTGCTGTGGCTGAACTCCAGCTTAATTAATTACATTCCTTCCACCAAAAAACACCTTGTTGTTCCATATCAATGTATTATACTTCCTTGCTATCAGCACCTGTGTGGCACTGCTGAAAAGAATGTGAAAATTTGACAGGATACAAGAACTGGATGTGTTTCAATGGCAGGTTTGTGGGTTTTTTTAAATTATAATTTGCTAAGTATCAACAGCTCATTCATCACTGTCTTACACAAAAGACAAAAGAGTAGTCCTCTTGTAATGGCTCTTAAATGATGGCCAACACACACAAATGATCAAAGGAAGAGAGTGCAGCAGGGCTCCTCAGCCGTTCCTTATGTTGGTGGTGGAAGGCAGACTATGACCAAAAGAGAAACTGTACTCTAAGAATGGGAGTGAAATGACCATGGAGATAACATCCTCCAGATGAGTTGCACGGACCACTGGAAGGGCAGTATGGAGACAATTGAGGCAGAAGACTACGAAGGGACAAAGAGGAACACAACTCAACAGAAATGGAAATCAAGAACAACAGGAAAAGCAGAATATAAAGCCTGGTGAGAAAAGCAAGGAGTAGCTGGGAATGTTACTCAGATAAAGTCAAAGTGGTTGGATGAAAACAGAAGTTACCCCGTCCCCAACTGTTCCAAATTTACACTCTCAGAACAAATTTAGGTGCCAAAGTTAACGCTATTTTTCCAAAACCTTTGATACTAGAAGGTAGATTTTACAGAAAGTAAGCGAGCACCTTTCAGAATCAGAAAAACCCACTAAAGTGTTACTCATTCTCACACTTTAGCTATCCTAATACTTGATAATAATTATAATATAAACCATAATACATGCATCATAAATCACATGTGATATGTCAGCACAGAACCCCAGTCTAACTATGACGCTTTTATACCTTGATGCACAAGTCCCCAGCTTGAACAAACGCAAATCAACTACATCAAAATTTGAGGGGCCTAAAACTTGTTGCTGGGTTTGCAAATTCAGATCATATTCCACGGCATTTGTTAAACCCGTAAAATACGTTGGTTAGTTTGCTTCTTCCTGGGGCACAACTGAAAGAAGCCACTGGTGCCCTGGGTCAAGCAGACAGCAGGTGAAAAGACAGAAATAGCAGATTTGAGGCTGGGAGACTACCCAAAAGAAGCAGAAACTTGCCTACTACATGTAGCAGAATCAAAAACCCCACATCTCAAGGGCTATAATTCAGCAAATAAATCAGATCTGAGGGGAAGCAGTTTGGGACAGCACTGTTCATACAGGCGAAATCTCTTCCCCTTCCTGGATCAAAGCCATCAACCAGGAACACCATCTGACTCATGCTGTGCCCTGGATCCTAGTGGAGCACTGACTGGTTGGGAAAGGCCAAATCTATACTGCAGAGCACACCAACAAACTCTGAACAGTCAGAAGAAAGATTTCGTGTCCTGTTTCTGCTTGGTGAGCAAAGGTGTAGCCAAAGCAGCTGAACAAAGGAAACAGAAAGAAAATGAAGTTGTATCCAACACGAAGCGGTGCACAGTGCTGAAACACAAAACAAGACAGAAGGAAATACACATGAGGCAACAGCACAGTGATCAAGGGAAGAGTTTTTATCTGAACCTCATCTATTTAAAAAGCATTCTGTTGTCCTGGAGATTACAAGCTACCAGAGCTTTTGGGGGTGTTCAAAGAAGCGGGAAAAAACCCAAAACTCAACAACAAAAAAGGTGGACAGTCTCAGCTAAGAGGAAGGGGTTGATTAGCATCATAT